AATCATCAAATGTTTTCAATAACTGATTTTACTATACCAGAAAACAACTTAATCAGAAAGAAGCGATGACTTAATTTGCCAAATGATGTTTTCTTCTCTCATCTATTAATACATTTTTTTATATCACAATGTCTAAGTCACCATTTAAAAACACATTAAAATAACAACTTAATGTGTATTGTAGTAAACAAAAACTCCAACAAAAAGAGCAACAGCAGGATATTTTTCATTAACCTCATCTTCTTCAAAAAAATCTAAAATATAATTTTAGAGAAATAAATTTAAAAAATTCAATAATAAACATAATTATATTTTTCAAAATTAAAATTAAGAATACTAAATACGAGTAATCTCAGGGCCAATTATTCAAAGGTTAAGTGACAGTGTAGAATAAAAACTCTGTTAGACAATGAGGTGGTGCAGTAATAACTTATCAAAATGGATTCCTATACACACTGCGAACCTTGGGTTCAGTTTTTAAGGTGGTAGCTACAGCCCTCAAGGAAACCAAATATAATATATACATAAAAAACACATATCTAGATTGGTGATAGTAACAGAATGAATGAGTGTCATTATAGCAGGGGTTCCCAACATTTTTTCAGCAGCAGGCACATTTATAGGTCATGGCGGACATCGTCTTTTTGTTCATTGTAAATTGCAGGTAGGTTACTGTTAAGAGAACACAGCCGAGTTCTTTCTTTATTTAATTTAAATTTTATGAAGAAGCAAGCAGCACTGCTGCCATCTCTTGGCAGGTAAGAGAAGTACAAAAAGACAAAGTCTTGTTATGTAGAGTTCCTGCTAGATTCATGTTTACTTAAGACTAGACATAGCTATAGCTGGCCAGCAGGAAAAATTATATTTACACAGATTTTCATAAGAGAAAAATATAGAGTAGAAACTCAAGCGGCTCGGCAGGGGGCCTAAGTATTGAAGAGGGGAGATGAGAGAAAACAGAGCAGAATGCAGCAAGTACCTAAGCAATTAATTTTCAACCCCCACCCTCCTAATTCATCATACCAACAATAGTTTATAATATGCAGATCAAATTTATTAACATACTAACCCTTATTGTGATAGATTCGGCCTTAATAACTCACATTATAATAGATATAAAATATAGCAATCTGTTTAACCCCATAGCTTACTTATAATCAAATACCCTTACTTACAGTCCACAGCAGTCAAATAAGAATCAGTCCTATAGCACAATTATTAAGTCAATATCTCTGAAAGCCGTGGAAAGGAGTGGCTTAATAGATTAAACAGTTACTGCTTATAAATTTAAAAAGAAAATGTAAATAGTATCAATAAAAAAAATATACATAGTAGTAGACATTTTTATCATTTCTAAAACAACTGAAATGTATTTCTACAGAAAAGGCGAAAACACCAAATGCAATGATTGTATTAATTTATACAGTTTTCTTATATTAAATTAACACATTTTCAAATTAAAATTGAAAATTAATTAAAAGTGACATGGGCTATAACTAGTGATAAAATGAGTTAAATGCAATGTTACCAACAGTTTTATTCATTTTTTATACTACCAAAGAAAGAGATTAACCAAAACAATAGCAATGATATTATATTGATAATATTGTGTTTAGAGACAGGATCTATTCATATTGGTTTCAATATTATGAAGTGTTCATTGAATTGGTTGGTCAAACTTGTGGAAATGGAGGAATGTAGATGCCCAAAAATATGTTTCGAAAAGCAAAGATAGATTTGTCACTCAGCTAATCCTGCTCTATCGAAATATAATTGGTGTTCTCAGCTAAAAGTATTGTTCGATACTATTGGGGGAAGGAAATCTAGTTTATGAAACCAACTCAGCCATAATTACAACAAATATTAAATAAATACAAACAACATTTGCAGGAAGGAGACAGGAAAACTTTGCATAGCTCATCTTATAGTGAACATTTAAATCTTTTTCTTAATAATGATCAGATCCCCCAGTATTTGTTGATACCGACTAATTTCAAATATACAAAACTATTAACGCAGATCCGACCCTCGGGAAAATATATGATCAAGATTTCTGTTAATAATAAAATTGTGAAAATTACTCCACAACCTGAGTACAAAATGTGCAACACTAAAGAAAATGAAGCACTTCATGATATATTATGTAAATGACCAATTTATAGTAGTTTAAGGTTAAGAATTTACCAGGGTATGGAAAATCTTGATGGGATAGAAATATTTAAGCCAAGCAGTCCTGTTTAGGCAACTTTCTAATTATGGCAAAATAACTCGCATGAGTTTCAATAAGACAACATTCCAAATTTTTAAGGTAACATTCTAATTTTTAAGCAATGGACTGTATCTCAATTGATTGGTAGGTTAATGATAGCGCAAAAAAAACAGCTTACCGTCTAAATGCCAGCCCACATCTTTTTTACCTGGAGAGTTCTCCGTACGTGGCTTCTTGTGTTGGAGATGGTGTTTGCCTAGTGGTGTGTGCCGGTGGAGTGGGCAGATACAACCAGTTCCTCTCAGGGCTTGAGTGTTATCTTTATCTTTATCTTTTAGATCTGCCCCACCACTCGCCGTAACGCGGAGCATTTAAACGAAAACTCCTTTCTGGCACAACTAAGTGCAGATGATATGAGAAAATTATATTTTTTTATCTCAATTATATCAAATTATAGAGAATTTGTGGGGTAATCTTGAATATTGTCCTCCGCACATAATGGCAAAAATTCCATATTGTACAATGGCATGTAATCTGGCCAGGTATTTTTCTTGTTTGTTCCCTTAGGTATGGGGGTAATCCTTTAATTTAATTTTAAAACATAGTTTAATATTAATATTTTAAAAAAATGTGTATTTATTTATGTATATTGTTGACAATTTTAGATTTTTTATTAATCTGAATATTAGTCTGACCTTTACCGAATATGATTTTTAATTTATGCTTAAGAGTGTAGTAATGTCTGTTACGTAGTATAAAAAGGAATTTGTATAATTCCATAAGGATAATAATGTTTGTTATTTTGTAATACCATACATTTGTAAAGGGTTCTTCCCTCAAAAAAAAAAAATTGATTGATTGATTGATATTATATTGATAAATGAATTATTATTGAATTTTATATCTATAAACTCTTGATATATTTTTTAATACTCATATATTTAATAAAGGAATTGAATGTTGAATATAAAATGTTTGAATTGAAAAATCGTCTATCTGCAGCATGCCACATAAAAAATTATGATGATTTAAAAAAATACAAAATAAATTACAACTTTCAGAGAGAGCATTCTTAAAATTAATGATTATATGTATTTATTAAAATAAATATTCAACATTTAAAAGAAAACTTTTTTATCTGCAGCCAAGGCGATGGTCACTAAACGTTATGTTAGATATAGGGGGGCACATTCACGGGATCTCAAGCAGGCACAGTGGTGCCCACGAGCTCTGAGTTGGGAACCCCTGTCTTATGGCTATAAAAAACAGTAGTGAAAAAAAAAATTCAATAATTTTAAAAATTAAAAATATGTTGAGGTCAATGCAGTCAAATGATCAACTATCATTCTTATGTGGGTAGAAAGCCATTCCAGTATCCTAGGCAATGAAAAAGCTGATAATGCTGCTACCGAGACTAGAGAAAACAATAATTCAAAAGCCACTGAGATCGAGCTAGTTGCTGTAGAAGATTGGGCCAATGATATCACACAGGAATTTTTAAAAAAATGAGAAAATAAATGGAGAAACGGTGGCACAAAATTAGGTAAAATCAAATCAGTATTGACAAATGGGAGTCAAACAAAAACTATCTAGGTGAGAAGAAATAATTATAAGCTGTCTCCGCATAGGCCACCACTAATATTTAATAGTTTATAAAAAAAAAATCAATATTTTTCAACCAAATATTTGTCTTATTATTTCTTTGATATAAAATACAATTAATACTCAAAGTATAGTCCATTGTTATCTACCATCATTAGCCATCTGCTAGCCAATTGCTCGATCCCACGCTGATACCATTCTTTGGGATGGTTGTCAAAGAACTCTTGGACCGCAATTTCAACTTCCACAAAATAATCAAATTTTTTCCTTGAAGAAAATGGGCCATGGATCTAAATAAGTAGTAATCCGATGGTGCGAGGTCTGGACTATATAGTGGATGAGACAGAAATTTGAACCCATGAAGTTCTATCAAGTTCTTTGGTTTGACGGGAAGTGTGAGGACAGGCATTATCTTGTTGGAATAAAATTCCTTTTCAGTTGATCAAATCAGGAGGACAATGCTCTGACAACTTGGCTGACAATCTTTCCAGTTGTTCGCAGTAGAGTTCAGAATTCATAGAGCATCCATCAGGAACAAATTCGTGATGAAAAACACCTTCAAAATTCCAAAAAATACAAATCATGGATTTTTTTTTTTAAATTGCCCCCTTGCAGCAATCGGAAAAGCAGTTTGGCCGTGATCTAGCCATTGCTCACGGGTAATCGGAATTCGCTAGTAAACCAACTTTTAATCACAGGCGACAATCTTCCGGTAAAATCTTATATCAGAAGGGGTTTTCAATAAATTTTCACAAATTTCTAACCTCTTAGCTGATTGCTGAGGAGTAAGTTTATGAGGGACCAGTCTACTGCTCTTTTTCACCTTCCCCATGGAGAGTATATGGTGACTAACAGTATCTTTTAACACACCACAATCCCTGGCCAGTTTGCGAGTACTTGTGGACGGATTTGACTCAACTACTTCCAGCAGAACCTCATCAATATCCATTAATGGTCGCCCGGAGCCCTTCTTCCTTTCCAACATCGTGTCTCCAATGCTAAATTTTTCAAACCAACGCTGCTCAGTGTGCTGGTCAAGGACAATTTCCTCTTCATATTTAATAATTTCATGAGTTGCTTTAGTGGGTGTTAAATTTTTTTTGACAGCAAAAACAACATTGAAAAAATTATAAACCTTTTGAAAAGAATTAGTCTACATTAAACATTATAAAGAAAATTAATATCACAACACCAATTACCATTAAGGGTAGAGGCAATAAACAAATATTAAATGTTTCCAATTGTATTAAATATTATACATGAATAAGAGTCAAAATGAAACAAAAAATTAGCTTACTATTATTCCTTGAATAGAAGATACTCTTTCAGAGGTTTTGGTAGAGGTAATGCAGCAACATACTTGCGAGATTTCTTTCTCATATTTTGTAATATAGCATCACGACAAGCACTTTGTAAAGTAGCAACTAGAATCAGATAACAAGTAAATTGGTAAAAATTAAAGTCAGATCAAGTAGAACTATGAATATAAATTATCAATATTACTTTTATTTATGAGATAACTATAGTAATACAACATAAGTTTGAACCATCTCTTTTGAATTATAGAGATTTTATATTGATGAAATCAATGAGTTTACATTAACCTTTTAGCAAAGATGAGCGGGAAGAAACATAGCTAAGGAATATAAGCAAAGGAACGGCCTTCAGGACGGCATTAGCTGACAGTTTCCCATGCCCCTGTGATGGAATACTTTTCATTACCTCTACTCACCAGTTTAGCCTTTTAATTTAAGGCATCCTTCCAAACATTTGTATTCTATATTTTTATCTAACTTTTAACATATTTAAAATACAACTGTTGTATTTTTACATGACCTTATAAAACTGAATGAGTCAACAACTAAAAACAAAACTGTTTCATGTATGTCATGTTCTCGCTTAAAAAAAAATGCTGAAATATGTTATTACAAGAGCCTGATAGGCTCTCAACTCATATATGAGTCCACCGTCATTCAAGCTTTATTTAAATATGGCAACTTTTGGTGTTCATTGTTACTTCAAATAATTTTTTATTGTCACATTAAGTAATATTTGTTATTAAAATGCTGATTTTGCAATCATATTTCGTAAATACAAGTTTTTCATTATTGGTAGATTGTTTAGAACACTTCTTTAATTGAAATATATATAATCACAATTAAAGAAGTGTTCTAAACTATCTACCAATAATGAAAAACTTGTATTTACTAAATATGATTGTAAAATCAGCATTTTAATAACAAATATTACTAAATGTGACAATGAAAAATGATTTGAAATATCAATGAACACCAAAAGTTGTCATATTTAAATAAAGGTGTTTTATAATTTGTTAAATAAAAATCAAGCATTGTTATCAATTTGAGTTAGCCTAGTTTCTTCATCAGGTTATTGATCTCATTTTAATGTGGCATTCAATTTTAACTGCCAAAAGAATTGTTCTGAAGAAACTTAAATTGGTCTAATAAAATATGGTTATGGCATCATCTGTAATGTTCATGTAAGCCTTCAATGGTATTAATTATTTAACTAACTTTATCATACTGAACTACTGGTGGAAGGAAATTACTGAAAGCGCATTTTGGTTTTTATATTTAGGATACTTTATAACTCAATTAATACCATAATAATGGGTGATAAATATTCAAGATGCAGTCTTTTTTTTTAATTTTTTATATTATTTTTAATATTTTTTATTTATTTATTTTTTATTTTATTTAAATTTATTTATTTTTTTAAAAACACTGTGTCCTGAATATTTATCACCCATGATATGTAGAACAGTCGACTATCTTCCTTCAATAATTCATAATACCATAAATAATATTTTTTTTTATTCTGTACAAAAAATATAAATTGATTGGTATGCAATAACTTATAAATCCGGGCAAAAATTAATAACATTAATTTTGTTTTAAATTATATAATTTTTTTTCAGCTCCTATGGCGCATTAGAGAGAAACGTCGGACATACATCTACTATTTTTCAACCTAGTATCACCAAAAACAGTTTCAATGAAATCTAATGAACTAATGTCTGTAACCTTTCCTTATTAGTTTTCAGTACCAACTAATGTAACTATACAATTTCAATAATGTTTGTAGTTGATTTTGGTTCTACTCATAATCTAGTTACTTAGGAAACTGGTCAATATTTATGAAGCGAAATGAAATAAAAGTAAATTTTATTCTGTGATAACTAGAAAACTTAAAATAATAAAAACTGTAGAGTTCAAGTAATATTTGACTTGTTTATAATAATAATAATAATAATAAAATAAATAAATAAAGTATAAGACATTGTATATTAATTTTTATTTTTTATTAAATTAATTATAATATAAAATTATCTAAAATAAAGGCAATTCATGGGTCATTCTTATATTATTTCAGCATTTGATGTCCTCGGGCTTTACATTTGTTTTTCACATGATTTTAGCTTACTACCACCCTCTTCTTAGCATAAATAAATATTTTCAGACAAAGGGGAAGTGAAAATAAAAATTATTGACACTATTTATTTACAATTCATTGTGGGTATTTTTATTTGTTTAAATAACCTTATCCTCAGTCTAACTCTAGCAGCCGCCGAGTAAAGACACTATAACCAGGCTTAGAGATTTACAAAATGTTTCAAATGACTAAAAAATTAGATGGTGTTGAAAAAAAATTACAATTATCAATCATTATACTAAATAATAAAGAACAATTGGTAAAACTTAATTGCATAAAATATTGTGATAATGTTGTTATATCATGGAAAAAACATGTGAACAAAAAAATGTTAACACAATGTTATTTATGCCAAGAATATAATCACGTAGCTCAAAACTGCTTCAAAAAAACCCCGTTGTCTTAAGTGCACCGAGGAACACTTATCAAGAGACTGCCCTAATATAATATCATACGCGAAGACTTCGTCCCGAAGTGCAGTAACTGCAATGAAAGTCATTTCTCAAATTACCAAAAATGCTCACACTTCATACGAAACCAGCAATTGAAGCTCAGTAAACAACGACCAACCATCCACCCTTCACAATGAAAAATATTCAAGCCAAGACAAAATGATTTTCCTTCCTTACCAAAAACAGACTCAAAATGGTTTCAAACAACATTCTCAGACAATATTAGTGGAAATAATCCTTCTAACAACGATCCATCTATTACTGAATGTTTGAAAGAAGTTAAAAATATTTAATGTCATAGAAGGGTTATTATCATTAATTGATTAACAGTCAAAAGTTTAAAATAATTAAAATAGGCTTAAGATGCTATTAATGTAATATTTTCTTATCTATTAGTTAAATATCACATATTGTATATTTTAACTACAATATTCCTCTGTGTACTACTGACCTTAAAGTGAGTACAATCAAATGTAAATACACACCTACCATGAAAACAGTCAACACTTTCACATCAACTTCCGAACCTATGTATACTAAATACCTATTGTTTATATTAAGCAAAACATGTCTTAATACTCAAACAGAAACAATACTACACCTTATATATTGTAAACTAAATCATTCTGACGACTTATTAATATTCACGTATTTTTACCTATATGTTTTGTTTCTTCCATTTATGTATTATTTTTTTTTTACTATTGCTTATATATTAGAGATTATGTAATATTTTTTTTTATTCATAATGAACAACGGTAGACGACATTTAAAATTAATGATGTGGAATGCCCAAACACTTTGCCGAAATGATATAGAATTCAAACAATTTCTACATCAAAATCAACCTCATATATTATCAGTAAGCGAAACTCGTTTATCTCCTCGAGACAGATTCTTGGCCCCTGGCCACACTGTTTACCGAAAGGACAGGAACAGAGCAGGCGGAGGGGTTATGATACTGGTGCGTTCAGATCTACCGCACGTTTACAGGATGATTGATAATTTAAAATACGCGGAAGCGACTGCAATTCAATTTAAGGTCAAAAACAAAATTATTAACACAGTTGCAGTTTATATCCCACCGAATAAAATAAATACACAGGCCCTTAGAGTTATGTTTAATATCGGTAAACACACACTCATTTTCGGGGACTTAAATGCAAAAAATTTACAATGGAACTGCCATAACACGAATAAAAATGGAAAATTATTATTAAATTTTATATCACGGAAAAATATAGAATTGCATGCTCCAAACGAGCCAACTTACATACCAACTCAGAAAAAATTCAAATCTAGCATTATTGATTTAGCCCTAACCAAAAATATTTCTGATGTTTCTCGCCTTATCTCGGTACCATGTCTCAGTTCGGACCATAACCCGGTGATCTTTCGATTGGAAAATAAAACCATAAAAACCAGCACGATCCCAAAATTCAATTTCAAATTGGCCTATTGGGAAAAATTCCGGAAAATCATAGAAAAAATCTATATATTAACCCTGTTATAATAAATAACTCCGATATAGATTTGAACACCGATAAATTTATGGAGACTGTCAAAACTGGCATGATAAAATCAATTCCATAGATATCATCCATAGATATGTCAACACAAACCCGACAACATACCTCCCCAACTACAATTTTTTATTTTTATAAAAAATAAATTCCGGAAAAAATACCAGCTCACCAGGAACATAAAGTATAAATGCCTCTTTAACAAATTAAATGCCTACGTAAAAATTCGTTTAAACAGTTGGAGGAACTTAGAGTGGCAGGAAACTCTTAGAAAACTGTTCTCTGGTAGTAAAAAATTTTGGAAAATACACAAAATTCTAACAAATCGTCCCCACCATATCCCTCCAATCAAACTATCAAACAATTTTGCCTATTCTAATACAGAGAAGGCAGAAGCCATGGCAAACAATTTCACATTAGCATCTAATATTTCGGCTGATCTAGACACCAACAACCACAATCGAACTATCATTAAATCAGTAAAAAGCTTTCTCAAAGAACCAGTTCCAAATACATTCCCTTCAATCTCATTCAAAGAGGTGAAACAGGTTATAAAGCAGTTAAAAACTAAAAAATCGCCCGGTCCAGACTCTATACCTCCAATAGCCATTAAGAAATTAAGCAAAAAGGCTATTTTATTCCTAACAAAGAAGTATAACTGTATGCTTCGCTTTAGATATTTTCCGATGGCTTGGAAAACAGCAAAAATCATAACGATTGCGAAGCCAAACAAAGACCCAGCAGATGTTCGTAGTTACAGACCAATAAGTCTACTTAATATAATTTCAAAACTTTTTGAAAAACTACTTTTAAAAAGAATCCTCAGCCATATATCTCAAAATAGTCTGATATCTAATGAGCAAATCGGGTTTAGAAAACAATACTCAACAGTAGCCCAACTAGCCAGACTGACCGACTATATTACCAAAGCGTTCAATGAAAAGAAGCACGTCGGTATGCTCCTCCTAGACATAGAAAAAGCTTTTGACACAGTAT